GCGGTTGAAAACATAACCAAGAGTCTACGCCAAGTTGCTTCTATTGAAAAAGCTTTACAAAAGAATAAATGGATATTTCAAAAAGATTTTCAAGCGAAAACTCATTAAGTTCTGGTTCAGAAGACAGCAGGGACGAGTACCAAGTTGAAGACCATGAATGAATAATTCAACCGTACGCATTTGAGCCCGTTGAAGAAACAGATTCGGAGTCAGACAGCATGGCTATTGATGATGAATGATCACAATCGGGATCTGGAAATGTAACAAACAGACTCGCGGATATTGACAAAGACTGGTAATTTTACTCTATATTTAAAAATACCGTAGGAATCGTAGTGGTAATTATGAGTTGATAATTTACAATATGTTGGCGTTTTTAATATATACTATAAATACAATCATGAACCGTCATTTTGTTTGTTCCAATATAATACTGTTTGTCGTATATTTAGAACGTTTAAATACACCCAAACCGAAACCGCTCAAAAAATTTATTGTGGCTTTCAGGTGTCTTTGTAGTAACTGCCGGATTATGGACAGAGAAGAGGAATGTGTTTGCTGCCAAGATGTCTCAGTATGCGTTGGAAAAAATGAAGAAGTGGCGCAGTTTGAAAATATACCCAGCTTGTATCACTGATAACTCAGGATTCAAGGCTGGTGCCTCAATTGATGGGTGCTACAGACTGCCTGAAATCACTGAAACAACAATATGGCACAAGTGCCTATGAGGGACCAGAACACAAAAAACATAGACATGTTGCCTACAGGCAGCTTGTTCGGTGGTGTTTTGGGATAATAGGTAAAGAAATAAGGGTTCCTTTTCCTTCTTGTGCAGTAAGCTGCATTAGAGCACATTTCCCACCACCAGGGTTGGAAGATGATATGGTTTTTAAAGGTTTTAGACATGCAGGTGAATAATATGGTAAGTTGTTGAGTTTTTATTCAGCTGGCTTTTTATTCAGATTGTGCCATAATCATAACCAGCAGGCTGTGAATAGAGCTTATGGTAGGTATCTACCTAAACTGTTTATGGTAGCTATCTGCCTCAAGTTTTTCCCATACGTGATCTATGCGCTGCAATAACATCATCTTTGTCGGGCCTTGGAGTTGGTGCAATGTCCTTTGGAATGATGCTATAGGTGTTTTTTCCGTCAGGTCTTGCTGAAATAACATCACATCATCCATCAAGTGCTGAATGAAATTAAATGCCTTATTTTCCAACACTGGTTTTGCGACCCAATTCTTGCGACCTTTAGGAAATGTGATCTTATATTACTTCTCACCCTTGTTTTTCCCTTGTTTAACAGTTGCATGGTTTCTTCCAGTATAACTATTGGAGTTATGGTCAATTACCGCCAACTGTGTTCTACCATTCCTGGATATGAAAAGTGGGTGCGTTTTGAAACATACTTCAGCAGCAAGGAGTGGTATACTTCCAGCTTACCTGTATGGTGAAACTCAGTAAGTTTGGCAATATCCGTTAATAGTTTTTTTGTTTAATACCACCTCTTCCAGGGCTATGTGTGGGGCAGATCCAGCCTGCAACCATATGGTTTTACGTTCCTTGTTTCTAGATAAGCGCCCATGTACACATTTACGAAAGTGCTTGCAATTTCTCTATCTGTGCTTATTTACAACTTGGTACAAGATTGACACCCATTTCTCATGAAGTACTTCAGCATCACCAGCACAAGTCTGTGCACACCACCACAGATGATTGGACACTGACTGAATCCATTTCAGTAAGATCTCATTCCCTTCTTTTTTGCTTTTTTTGTTAATTTTTTTATCACCCATTTTGAAAGATGCCAAACATCATATTGGTGAACTATTTGCGGGTATTTTTTTCTCATCTCTGCTGTAATCTGTGTGTGCCGATCTGTTGTCAAAGATCTGATTTTAATGCCTTGGCCAGTTATTTTGTTCATGGATCTTTGACACCCTTCATTCTCCATTGCATTAGAGAATGAAACTTCAGAGACTTAATTTGAACAAGTGAGAAATCAACCGGAACCATACAATATGGCATTTTTTATAGAAATCGCTTGTAAAATGTTGCTGTATTTTATAGCTTTGTATATATTTGAATATGAAGCGCTCCCGCGAAACCGCGCAGTGACGTCGCGGGGTAAATCCGCTGCTAGATCGCAGGTTCGCTCGCATGTATTTAATTTCTGCGGCAAATATCGCAAAAGTTGCGTTTTTATTGCTTTATATCTCGAATTCTATTTAACCTTGCGATTTAAAACTTCGTATGTAAAGTAAGAATGATATTATCTTTCATCTGAGCCTAAGTTGTCCTGAGCAATGACTTCCCCTTGCATATCAGCATATGTGGTCGTATGCTCACAAAATATATAACTTATATATATGGAAAAGTATGGGGACATAAATAGCGACATTGCAGCTTTAGCTTTGCGAAGAAAATATGGCAATGGTGCATGCAATCAACAAAATGATCAGTTTAAAATTTTATGCCGTGAGATTTCCTAGCCCTAGCCGTTATATAGCGATTATATGTCTCATGGAAACATTTCTTCGCACGGACGGTTGCTTTATCGCAACCTGTCAAGATGTATTATAAACGGATTTCAAATTAAGTATAAGCCAGGGTATATAAGCGTTGTTCTTGCACTAGGTGTCCGCGACCTAAGTTTGCAAGGCATCATTTTATTTTAACCGCAGTGCAGCGCATAGACAATTAAATTTAAACCAAATTTGAAAATATTATTAAGGTATATAATGCCCTTTAGCTTGACCGCGGCTGTATCCGAAAATAATGTGTGCACTAGGTGAATATCCCCTCAAATATCCGAGCTTACATTTTATTAAATATCTTATTCAAATATTACTGCGCAATACATTACTTGGATTGAAATTAAATGTGGATTTTCACGAGTATATAAATATAGGGGTGTGATTGCGTGTGGATATCTGAAATACTTCAAACTTTAATAAACACTTGAACGCATCCCTGCCAAATGAAACAAACATCGAAACAAACTTGTAGTATTTACATCAAATTAGTTTTGACAGCATGAAAACACGTTTCGACGCTGGTTCGCTGCGTCCGCGTGTAAACGAACTTTGCCTATGGCGATGGGATATTTTGTATTAATGTCTGGTTATCATCTGTTAACAATTTCATCCTTGGCCTGATTAATTTAATCGTTTGCGCGTCAAAGAGTATAAGCAAATGTGTGTACAATGGAATCTCTTGTGCTTAGTTTAACATAAAATTTGTATCCAGTAGCTGAAACTCAACCAAACTGAGACGATGGCCGATTACATTGCCTATGATATTATCATTGAAGGCAGGCCATTTATGTCAATCTTTGTTTACAGCAAGGCCTGGTTTACTGTCATGTTAATAAAACGGGTGCAAGTTTACGTCTATGAATATAATCACTCATACATTGACTTTGCCTGTGGAGGCTGAAGGCTTTCATTTCTAACGCTATAAACCCGAGTCTTGCCGCAAAACGCAAATGTATATATGCATATAAAATATATAATAGAGCTATATATAATATAGTTGATACTAAATAGAGTAGTATATAGAGCTAGTAATCTATTTTGCGTCATGGCATATCACGCGTATTAAGCCTTCAGACTAATTCGTTAAACCGTTGATAAGGTAATTAAATCGTTCAAACGCTTCGGATTGAGCGATTATTTATCCGTTCGTATTCTCGACTTAAAACGTTCAGATTTTTAACTAAATTGGTCAAAACGTTTTTTAGATTCCTTGAAACGTTAAGACTGATCGTTCTTTCTCGTTTTGCCGTTTCAACGAAATACCGTGGAAGGTCACATATTTGTAGCAATTATACTCACTACAATAATAAATGTTACCATAAATATCATATCAGAATATGCATAGCTATTACCTTGCGATCTTTCAAACACAATTAATGAACTTCGTATTGCTTTAACTATCTTTACCAAACAAAAAGGAACAGCCAGCAAAACCGTGCGTGCAGTATAATCGCAACTAGCCTCCTCCGCAGGCATCTCTTATTTATTTACATTAGGCATGTATATTTGACTTGGGTTAGCTGTGTCAGGGAAGCCGAGGAGAAAAAGTGGGAGAGATGCCTGCCATAAATCGACAAAACAAATTGCACTGCGCGTACCAGCTCGCGAATGCTAATTTAAGAAAAAAATGACACAATCGTACTGTGTATAGGCGGTAGTGGAGGGAATTTTGCAACAAATTTACGTAACATTTTCTGGTTTATTAATGAACGAAATAAAAGTGTTTTGTAATTGTAACATGATAATCTGTGAAGTGTATAGTCTGATACTTTTGATATGAAAATCTTGCAGCATTAAACATACAGCGTTCTCGGGATCATGGCTTGCCAAGATATAATTCATTTAGGGTTTTGTACGTGGACTCAGAAGCGCGTATGATTTTAACAAGACCAAGAATGATATAAAAGATCCAGAGAACAGACGTATTTTAAGTGATCTTTACGACGATAACCCCGATTTAGTTGAATTGTGGGTAGCAGGAATAGCAGAGACCCCGGTGAAAGATTCAGTTGTTGGTCAAACATTTCGTCATCTTGTGGGAAAGCAGTTTGAGAAATTAAGAGATGGTGATCGTTACTTTTACGAGAACTTTGAAGGAGGAATATTTACACAAAGCCAGGTTGAAGAATTTGAAAAATCCAGCATGTCTCGTATTTATTGCCACAGTGCTAAAATGTCAATGTTATCAAATTAAAAACATGCAGCATATGGTTGGCGTTACAAAACCAGCTGATCTGACATCATAGTGTCTGTCACGATATTATGAGGTGACGTCACGACGCAATTTTGATGGACAGGTGCAGCAGACGGCGTGTGCGAGACAATTACAAAGGCAGACACAATATAGTATATAGATTGTAAGCATGTAACTACATTTTCACGATTTCTCGTTGAGTTTATAAAGTATCGTAATAAACAAACACGTTACATGGTGTCAGGAGTGGGATATTTGAAATAAAACAATGGTCGAGCCTCAAGGAGAAGCCCAAGCGCCACAAATGGCTCAGGCGCCACAAATATATGTAGCGCCATCGAACTTGCCACCGCCGAAATCGCTCATATTCGACGATAATTTGGCAACTACATGGAAGTCGTGGAAGAAATCATGGACACGGTACGAGATTGCAACTGGTGTACACAAACAAGAGGGAATTGTAAGAGTATCAACCTTATTAAGCGTAATCGGCGAGGACGGTGTCAAAGCGTACGACACATTTGCATGGGGAGAAGATGAGAATCAAAATGATGTCGATGTTGTCCTTCAAAAATTTGATGAGTATTGTTCACCGAGAACTCAAATAATCTATGAACGATACCGTTTTAACAATCGAAACCAAGCACCAGGAGAGAACATTGCAACCTACCTAACAGAACTGAGAACAATCGCTAGAAATTGTGCTCATAACACGATTACACCAGACGAAATTTTACGGGATCGGCTTGTTTTAGGCATTCGCGATGATCATGTCCGAGAACGTTTACTAAGGCTAAACGATCTCACCTTACAGAAAGCAGTGGACACTATCAAAGCCGCGGAACAAACACAACAACAAGTCAAGCTAATGAGCACAGGAGAGGATTGTGTAAACATGCTCAGGGGAACACAAGGAAAAGATACTGGTTTAGAAAGTAAACAATCCCGGAAGACAAAACCGCCTAGATATCCAATGCGAAACCGCCAACAGGAAGGATTGCTTAAGGAGTGTGGGAATTGTGGTATGACTCACGACGAACGAAATTGTCCAGCGTTCGGAAGAAAGTGTTTTAACTGTGATAAGATGAATCATTTTGCGCGGAAATGTCGAGGAAAAAATAACAAAGGAGCAGAAATCAACCAAACTAAGGAAGTCGATCAAAAACCCGAAGAAGATCGTTACTGTATCAGCTCTGTTTCGGACGGTGACGAGTCTAAAGCACGCAAAGCTGTGATTAATTTGCAAATTTCGAAGCCAGAGGCGGGAAACTCGGTTCAATTTCAAATAGACACTGGTTCGCAATGTGATATTCTCCCGACAAGCCTATATATACAAGTCACTGGTGACAATCAATTGCAACGCCTAAAACCCTGCAAGAAGGAAATCGTTTCATACACAGGTGAGCACCGTAAGATTACCGGAAGAGCTAAACTGCCTGTATGGTTCGGAGATCAGCAAAGAACCTTGAATTTTAATATTATCAACGGAGATTATCAACCAGTACTATCGTTAGATACAAGCATTGCTCTAGGTGTTGTCAATTTGAGTAAATGTGACATTCTGGCACTGACAATAAAGCATCCAAAGGACAAACCGCATGTTGCAGACGAGTATGCCGACGTTTTTGATGGCCTTGGCGAGATACCAGGAGCGCACACGATAACTATAGAAGACTCGGCGAAGCCAGTTATCCACGCCCCTCGACGAGTTCCAGTCGCATTAAGATCCCAAATCAAAGCCAAACTAGATGAACTAGTCGATCGAGAAGTCATTGTCCCTGTTACAGAACCCACTTGTTGGGTATCCAGCATGTTGGCAGTTGTCAAGCCGAATAAGATCCGCATATGCATCGACCCACGAGACCTTAATCGTGTTATACGACGCGAGCATTATCAACTACCTACAGTGGACGAAGTCACATCAAGATTGGCGGGTGCCAAGAAATTCACACTCTGCGATGCTAAGGACGGATTTCATCAAATCAAACTTGACACAGCCTCAAGTTATCTGACAACCTTCAACTCCCCTTTCGGACGGTACCGTTGGACTCGCATGCCCTTCGGAATCTCGAGTGCACCCGAAGTTTGGCAAAGGCGAATGCACGAGTTTTGCTCAAGATCTCAATGGGGTTGAAGTCATAGCAGATGATTTCCTTATCGCGGGATTTGGAGAAACAGATGAGGAGGTCGATCGAAGCTTGGAAGCGAATGAGCGAGCGTTTTTCCAGAAATGTCGTGAGTGGAACCTAAAGCTGAATCAATCGAAGATGAAGAGATCACAGACGGAAGTCCGTTTCATGGGACACCTCATTACCGCTGACGGCCTCAAAGCTGACCCAGCAAAAGTTGAAGCAATCTTAGACATGCCAGCCCCAACTGACGTAAAAGGCCTCAAAAGATTTCTCGGGATGATAAACTATTTGGCCAAATTTTTACCTTTATTGTCGGACATGACCGAACCGCTGAGAAGACTCGAAGATAAAGACGTAGAATGGTGTTGGCTCGAACAACACCAGCAAGCGTATGACACTATCAAGAAATCGCTAGTCAAAACGCCGGTCCTAAGATACTATGATGTCAACAAGGAAGTTACTATCGAATGTGATGCTAGTGACACTGGTCTAGGAGCCGTCTTAATGCAAGACGGACAACCTGTCGTTTTTGCTTCGAGGGCGCTTACAGATACGGAAACTCGATATGCCCAAATCGAAAAAGAGTTACTTGCAATCGTGTGGGCAACAAGTAAATTTGATCAGTATATCTTGGGTCGAGAAGCTGTTACCATAGAATCAGATCATGAACCCCTAAAAGCAGTTTTTACCAAACCTATACATAGCTCACCCAAACGGTTGCAGAGAATGCTGCTGGCCCTCCAAAATTACAATCTCAACGTTCAATACAAAAAAGGCAAACTCATGTGGATATCGGATACACTGAGTCGAGCGTATCGAAACACAACTGAATCTTGGAGTCATGACACAACGGAGGTACGAGCCCTGGAAGAGATCGACCATACAGAGAATCTGTCGATTTCGCCGGATAGACTCGAGCAGTTCAAACGGGAGACAACGTCAGATAAGACCATGCAGAGCATCATCGACGCTGTAAAGAATGGTTGGCCTTTATCCAAGAGACAGTGCAGCCAGGACTTGTCACCCTTCTACGACAAAAGAAGTGAATTGTAGTAGATAATGGACTAGTTTTCGCTGGAGAACGATTAGTAGTCCCCACATCAATGAGGAAAGCAATGTTGACGCAGATTCACCAATCTCATATTGGAATAGAAGGCTGTCTCCGAAGAGCCCGAGAAGTATTGTATTGGCCCTTAATGAACGCAGAGGTTAAGGATTTGGTTTCAAAATGCCCAACGTGCCAGGCGCATCAACCTGCACAATGTCGTGAAGAATTAAAACCATACCAACTACCATTTCGTCCCTGGGAAACGGTTAGTATGGACCTGTTTGAGCTTGGAAAACAGCACTTTGTCCTTCTCGTGGACCACTGGAGTGGATTCTTCGAGGTCCAAGAACTTACGAGAACTACCGCCGACAAAGTTATAATAGCATGCAAAGTCCAGTTTGCACGACATGGAATCCCGGACACAGTGATAACCGATAACGGACCTCAGTTTTCCGCCGCAGAATTTTCAACATTCGCAAATGATTGGCAGTTCAAACATGTAACGTCGAGCCCTCGCTACCCGCAATCAAATGGCCGGGCAGAGAATGCGGTCAAGACCTGCAAAATCCTGTTGACAAAAGCCAAAGCTGCTGGTCAAGACCCATTGCTGGCGATTTTAGATTGGAGGAATACCCCCACAGAGGGTTTGGGAACATCTCCTGCCCAACGGTTGATGGGGCGGCGTACGCGAACACTACTACCGACTCACAAAAATCTTCTCAAACAGCCAATCAGTGAAAGCACAAGAGATAAACTAGTTGCTCGGAAATCGCGACAAATTCACCATTATAACAAGACACACCAACCTCTTCAACCATTGAAGAAAGGTCAAGCTATCCGAATGAAATTGCCAAACGCAACAAAATGGACGCTTGGAACTTGTACCAGGGTTTTAGACAACAGATCATACGAAGTAGATGTGAGCGGTAGGAAGTACCGCCGAAATCGCCGACAACTACGAGCATCGCAAGAAAGACCTCCAACACCACCTGTTGCGGGAGTGATCCTGAGTTTGAACCTGAGCAGAGCAGAAGGGAACCAGAGAACCGTTTGGTGGAGAATGAAGCTAACCCCGAACACACACCATCATTAGACAGTGCACCCTCGGCTGAGAACAGCGAAAAACCACCACGACGCTCAGAACGCGTAAGATGCAAACCTGGGTGGCACAAGGAATATGTAATGGAATGAACTGAAAGCATTGGACAATTCGAACTTGAAGTACCTTAGTAAGATTGTATACATATCTATTCCATAATTTATATTTTGTTTTGTTTTGTCGAAAAAGAAAAGGGAAAGATGTCACGATATTATGAGGTGACGTCACGACGCAATTTTGATGGACAGGTGCAGCAGACGGCGTGTGCGAGACAATTACAAAGGCAGACACAATATAGTATATAGATTGTAAGCATGTAACTACATTTTCACGATTTCTCGTTGAGTTTATAAAGTATCGTAATAAACAAACACGTTACAGTGTCTCTTAAACTTATAGTACATATCGACAAAAATTTAAATTACAAAAAAATAAAGGTGTTTTTCAAGTGATGTCGTAATGTCATAATGAAAATATGAAATGCAGGGAATGATAATTCAGTACAGTTCAGCGTTCAGCATTGCCAAATGGAAAAGTGAGATTTGTTGACCTTCTAAGATAAAATAATTATAATAGATTAAAATGTAATATCCATCAACCGACTACACGCTATGGCTGATAATGAACGATTTACGATATCGATCTGTTTTACAAGCAGGAGTATTAAAAGTCTCGTGTTTCTTAAGTATCTATCATGCTTTGACATAGGTGGCAAGAGTTCTACAAGTTAATGATCTTTGTTTTTTATAATATCCTTGAACAACTTAGTGGACAAGGTTTCGCGTCTATTATACAATGTTGGTATACCAGCCACTGACAATTCCTCTCTATACTTCAAATCAGGGAAGACCATTCGCATAGCACGTTTCTGGATATGTTCAATTTCTTCCGATAGATATTTGGGAAGGATACGATGGAATAGTTGGCATGAATATTCCAAAGTTGACCTAATTGCCGTACAATAAAATAGGACAAGATCTTTGGAACGAATTCCCGCTCCTTTTAGCTGCTTCAGAAGGTATAATCGTTTAGACGCCTTTATCGTTATTGCTGCAACGTGGTCATTCCATTTAAGGTCTTCTCGTATCGTCATGCCAAGAAGATTGGCTGAAGAGACTCTCTCAAAATTTAGTCCGTCTAGTTCTAGTGGGTCATACGACGACGGTGATCTCTTAAAGCATGTGAGGATTTCTTTGCATTTTGGTGGATTAAGCTGAAGACGATTATTCTGAGACCAGTTGTTAATGTGGTCAATGGCTTCTTGCAGGTGACTTGAGTTTGACGGTGAAATAAATTCGGAAACCGTTGTATCATCAGCAAATTTCCACATAGGGAGTGAATCTCCAGGTAGTTTGAGGTCATTGATCATCACCAAGAACAACCACGGACCAAGTCGTGTACCTTAGGCCACTCCCGCAGGGACATTAATCCAGTTCGAGTAACAGTTCCCATTTAGCTTAACTCGTTGTTGCCTGTCTCTTAGAAAATCGATAATCCAATTTACAGTGTTTGGCTCAACCCCAAGACTAAACAACTTCGAAATCAGTATATGGTGATCCGGGCCACCAAGTCAAAAGCTTTCCAAAAGTCTAGAAGTGCAGCTCTTATAGTTGTACCGGTACCATGTGTAGAGCGAAGCCAGTGATGAAACATGGAAATTAGCGCAAAGGTTGTTGAAGAACCTGGTATAAAACCATACTGACATGGATCAAGAGAAGACAATACTACGGGCTTCAGAGATCTTTCGATTACAAAACCTTCGGCAATTTTGGACACGGTTGATGTTAGCGAGATCGGCCTTAGATCTTTATTGTAGTTGTTGATGGTAGGAGCTTTGGGTAACGGGTTTAGAATCGCGCAGATCTTTTACCTTGTTTTCGTAATACACTTTGCGACAGCGTTTCCGCTCACGGTTAACTTTATTTCTCAGAATTCTGAATAGAGGTTCGTTTCTGGAACTAAAGGCCTTTTGTCTACGCGCGATAAGATCCTTCAGTCGATTTGTCAACCAGGGCCGATCAGTTTCGTGAATTCCAACAAATCCTTCGGGCATAATTATGTTTAACCCATAATTGACAATTTCTGTCAGGATTTGTAATTTCTCTTCATTTGATTGATAAGACGAGAGCAGAGTAGACCAAGGTATTTGAAGTAAAAATCGGCCAACACTTGCTTTTTTGCGAGGTCGTTTATCTCTTGTTTGGATATTCTTGCGCTTCGGTTTGGTTTGTTTATCTCGGATCTTAGCAGTCATATGTACCGTCACATGATCTGACAGACCAAAAGGGTGTAAGCTGCTAGATGTAGAATAGTACTCGGATACGCTGGTAAAAATCTGGTCCAAAGTATTTGCACCCCTAGTTGGAAAGTTGATCATGGGTTTGAGCTGAAAGGTTTTAACAGTTGTTCGAAGTATGGGCAAGAGAGATTTATTGAAGTCGCCTGCTAGTATTATTGCGCAATTCGGATATTTTGATTCAACTGTTTCTAGTGATGAAATGATATATTCTTTCATTGTAGCATCATGGGCGTCAGGGGGGTGATAAACCACACCAACTATAACATTTGAAAAACCGCGTGGAAGACGCTTTGGTGTAAGGTCAATCCAGAGAACTTCGTGATCGACATTGTAAAGCTCTGAAAGAACTGTACATTTAATAGAAGTTTTGACGTATATACACACGCCCCCATGGAGCCTATTTACACGATCTCGTCTGTAGTGTTGGTATCCATTTATATTAATTGGGTCGTCCGGTACAGATTCACTTAGCCAGGCTTCTGTGAAAATACCAATATCTGGTTCAATAATGTTAATAGTATGAGCAATTTCGTCAATCTTGGGCATCAACGACATA